TGACTGCTACGTTACGCATGAGTAAACCTCTTTTGTGAACCACACTGTCATGGGAGTTTCTCTGTCGAACGGGGCAAACCTTACAAATAGTAGCATTGCCTATTCCAAAGGGTTAACATTTTATTTAAGTGGTTGCCTTGTTATGTCTGTCACAACTGATATTTTAAAAGAAATTACTGATGTTAGAAGTCATTTGTTTAGAGCAAGTTGTATTTCCTTTTTTAAATAGTTCCAACCCATCAAAATCAAATATACTTAATTTTGTGACTCTTTCATAAAGTAAAGAGCATAATGGTTTTAATACATAAAGCATTAGCATTTAATTCATTCACCCCCAGTGGGTGCTTCATGAACTGCCCTTTTTTTCCTTTCAGATTTAGGCTAATGCTATTTTCTAACAGTACCTTCCAGCTGGATGAATATTCAATTTAAAAAGCTGTATTGCTTAACTCAGCCTCTTCTTAATCTTCAGTAAGCAGGTTTGTTTAAAACTCAGTTCCCTACAGCTGAAAGGTAAGATCAGTAGTTGATGTCAATTTCACCCCTTCACTCACATCTCTTAACTTCTGAAATATACATAAGAAAATCACAGCGTTTCTCTAGAATTCCCAGATGTTGGGTTCTTGTTGGTGATAGTAATGGGCACTGATGAGGTTACCCAGTTGGGTAATGAAATGTCTGCAAGCAAACAACCAAGCTCAGAGAGCACCAAGGACTCCACGCTTCAACCCTAAGCTATAGATATTCTCTTCTGTTGGAATAAATAAGCTATTAACATTCTTGAAAAAGCCTGTCAAGATGAGAATATTAAGATGAAAATTAAATGGCTATAGCCATTTTAGACAGAATGAGAGAAAACTAGTAGAATAAAATAGAAAGCTGTGTCCCCGTTTACATGGCATTGTCATCATGCATCTGCTTCCCAAATCATTAAAACTACATAAAAATATAATTAGGTGAAAAATGAACACTGCATATGTCATTATGGATAGGAAGAAAAGGAAATGAGCAAAATGATATCTCCATTACAAATATTGGATAATCCAGCTGCAGAAAAAATCATTACACACCCACTTTTTTTCCCTAGGAATGCAGTTTGTACATCAGTGCACTTTTAAATAGACATTTTCCAAAATAAAGCTTGATTTACCTTGCACAATTTTACTCTCTTACCTACGTTAATGGAAAATGGCTACCTTAATTAAAGTAGAAACACAGCTTATGTGATTCCGGTGTCTGCTGGTGATTAATGTTTTCTTGAAAGAGAATATTCTCTCCCACTCTGCAACTCAAAATCTAAAAGTACTGTAGTGTAAGAACCCTGTCCATTGTTTCAGTCCTGTACTACAACAATAACCACCATACAGATGAACAATATAGGATAAATAAATTAAAAATTATGTTTCCTTCCCATTGATGGGATAGCTTCTGAAATATACTGAAGAAAATAATGGAAAATTAAAGCGAAACGCTGTAGGGGAACAATTTTGTCTTTTCCAATTCTTTCTTCCTCAAATGCCAATCTTCACAAGTTTTCCCAGCGGGAAATACAGCCAGTGGCATCTTCAGGAAAGAATAATAATGCAGTCAGCCTAGTGGTTATGGCAGCATGTTAGAAGCCCCGCCCCTTTTATGTGTGTGTCCACATCATATGCATGTGGAAAAGGACAAGGCTTGGCTTGGGCTGCTGTGCTTCCCATCTTGACTTTTTAACCCCCCGGTTAGACAGCACTGCTAAGAGCCCTTTAAAACTAGTTTAGATCCAAACTAGTTTTCTGCAAAGTCTATGGTCCATCCTGTCTACTCAAAGTAAAGCTTGTTAGTTTCCCAGCTAAGCATCTATTGCCTCAGTCACAGCTGTAGCTAAGCTTAAAGCACATTGTAAGCTACTTGGGGATAGAGGACTCTCTGCTTACACACTTCTGTAATTCTAAGGCATTAGTAATGCTATGGGTGTATAAATAAATCATTTATATTGAGTGAAATGGTTTTGTAAAATGTTAGAAGCAGTTGTTCTTTGAACATAGTAGAATGGTTTTTCTACTGCTCAGGTATGAAGTACCTTAAGTAACCTAAAAAGAATTTGGTTCCCATCATATTTCATGAATGAGCAAGGCCAAGAACTTTCCACCAGTGTACATTCTTTGCCTGGCTGCCCCCTTGTTCTTAGTTACATATATAGTTCGTGACAAAACAGGATCCGGAAGGCATTCCCTGCAGTCCCATCCAGGCTTGATGAGTACTTTTATTTCTAGGTTAGTGGTTTCTCGTGATACTGTCCATACTGCATGTGTTATTTATTGTAGAAATTCCCATGCCTGTTTTCATTTCTTTTTCACCATAGGAAATGAGTTCTGTGAAGCATTAGCGATCAATATGTAAACAATTTATTGGATGTTTCAAACAAAATAATACGCAGACATTTCAAAGGATAGATCAGACCACTGGCCTGCCCATCACACCAAAATATGGTACGCTGTTATGGGAAAACAGATTTTTACCAATATGATCCAGAACTAGCGATATGGATCAATAATGTTAATTGGAGCATGACATTAAAAAGATCATGCAGGCATAGATTTGCAGAAGGATGGCATCAGATTGTGAGGTGTTCCACAAGTGCACTCTGTTTTGCTTTGATGTGAAAATCTGAGTTTGGATCCAAAGGAGAGGAACAGAAACAAACGTGGCTTACTGCTCACAGAAGGGCATCCATAGAATGCAATTCATTGTCATCAGTTTTAATATCTTAAGTTGCCGTTTCTTGAATTGGTACATTAAATGCAGTGTAATCCACTTGACTCTGAGTTTGTTAGTTAAGAGATTCCATATGAATCATAAAGGAATATAGAGGGAGTTCAGCATTATTTTCTACTATCAGATGCATTTCACAGTATCAGCCTAGAGATGGTACCTGCTGAATCTTTTTCTGGTTACTGTTTTGTTCAAAAATAAATATCACTTAATTGTTTCAGGTAATGTTTTGTGGCAGATACTGAGACCCCAAAAACTAGAATATTGAACTTAGTATTGCTGAGTTCAGTGGCTCCCCACCACCTTCAATCTACTATGAAATTGATAACTTGGAGCTTCCTAGCCTAAGTTCAGCTTCCTCAGCTTTAGAATGAAAGGCATAGATTGTCCTGAAGATAATTTCAATAGCAATTACGAGAACATCTGACAATAAATGCTCTATTCTAAGTACTCTCCTGCCATCTGGGGTAATGGTCAATGCGTGTTCAGGGGAAAGTTTCCTGTTTGTGGTTCTTCATGGTTTTGATGATGAAATGTCTTCCTGACAGAGATCTGCCAAGTTTATACATTCCTGTTTTTTTAATTAAATTTTTGGTGGATCCTAGCTAAACTTTCTTTAAAAAGTAAGCTCTTACGTTCAGCTTGCTAACCCAAGCATCCAATTTATAAAGCCAACTGGGATAATCTAAAATGAAAAGTATGATAATGCCCATGCAGCTTGATCTTTCATTTCCTTTTGATGTCATTATGGGTGACATATAGGATGACATAAAATTGCACTCTCTCCTGCAGGGTTAGTTTCTGAAAGTAGTGTTGGAGAATTTTTCTTTGACCTCAAGACATCTGAGCTATGGTAT